ACAATTGATATGCTATGCAGATGGGATTTTCTTAATTTCGCTTTGACGGCAAATTTTCTACATACGAATAAAGGTACTCAGTTGTAATAAAAAGAAAATCAACACATGCTACTAATGTTGTATATGAAATTTTAGACATAATTTTGCTTGCAAGACATTGTATATCTTGCTTATAATCTTTTGTAAGTAGTAATAGGCATCCAGAGAAGTCGCATCATTAGTAGTGGACATGCTCCCCCCTTGTATATAAAATATTCAGAATTAAATTGAGAATAAAATTTATGTTTATGATTAGGAAAGGGTGTACAAATTTGGATAAAATTTTTCTTAAAAAGAATATTTCACTTTTTAGCTGATTTATAAATATTTTTGTTGACATAAAAGGCTTGAGCTATTAAACTGCGATTGGGGTACCTGTTTGTTTTACCCCATATCTCGGTGAAAAGACAGATGACCAATACATTTATCATGACTAAAAGATACTTCAAGCATCGGTTGCCATAAACAAAGACAAAAAAATCATAGTAAACAAATTAATTATTCTAGTTGAGAGCTTTATTTGAATTTTGAGCTTTGTTACTTTTATTAGTAAAATGAGATTAATTCTTCAATATTTTTTAAGTTTCAACCAGTAATGTGTACCGCAACCTGATATTATTCATTATTTATCCTTATCCTTGTGATTTATGTTCAAAAGAATTTATTTGCCATGTGCAATGACATAAAATGTAGACCGTCTTTATAATAGTCGTGATTTTGTTTTTGGTACAAGAGGATACAGGAGTGTTTCACACCCTTTCTCAGTAAAAATATAGATTATCTTTAAACTTTTTTGTGCATTTGGAGTAGATAAAGTTTCTCTTAACGAGGCCCGATCTAGTTGAAAATTACGAAAACGGAATGATAAAAAATTTTAATTCTTGGAAATATACTTGTATGTTTTGTGCTTAGAAAAATTAGAATGAAATTTTGTTACCTTGCCTTTATTGTAGTGAAATGGGGGCACTGTCAAGATATGGACCATTTGTCGTGTTTTTATACACAATTACATACTAAAACTCTTCAATAAACAAAGAAATTTACAAATAAAAAAAAATACATGATGAAATTCCTTGTTTTTCACATATATCATGCAATTTTCATTCTTCTTATAAAAAATGAAAAGAAAATTGGAGGTAGCCTTTATTGCAGTGAAAAGGGGGCATGTCAAAACACAAAATTTGGATTTATTCTATCCAACTACGTATTTTATATGTCGCAATGGGTTTACATAAAACCAACAAACGATTGTGATACTGTATTAGTTTCTAAAAAATAAAAATTTCCTACATTATGAAATAATTTTCTCGCCACGCTTTATTTTTCTCTCAACACGCGTTGTTTTACGTGGAAAAAAGGGGTAGAGGGAGGAGGAGGGGGGGAGGCGACAAAATTGCGATTTTCACTAATATCATGTAATATATAGAAAAATAAAATATTTCGGGGGTTCAGTTTAAATGATTTATAGACTTATTTTATTTTTCTAAATCTGAAGATAATCCATTCATATTTAAGTCCGCAAAAAAAAAGAGTGTGTATGAACACTTCAACATGTTCAGAGAGAAAGACTAAAATCGTTTACTTTTAGTTGCAGTGTTTGTTTTTTTTAACTCACAAATTGAAATAAAACAGGATAAAATTAATGAAACTGTACCAAAAAATTGATCCCTCAAAATAAATTAGGTTCCAAAGTTGTTTATTAAATTAAATATTTTTAAAAAAATAATAGAAATGTCAGTTTTCAATGCATAGTCTATAGAGCTACCAGGTAAGTAAGATCAGCGAAACATTTTAGCGCAATTTGACGTCATTTTAATTGTGACGTTATTATGTTCAATTGTGACGGCAGTCAAGGGTATTGTGACGTGCCTGAGTCGACGCTGCGTTAAAACGTATGCGCAGATCAAGTAGATCGGGCCTCGTTAATGTAAATCAGAACAAAAATTGCAGTGTTAACCAATTAATTCCACGAGAAAAACACTTGTTTGGCCTTAATTTGACATTCATAAAAACTGAGGACGTTTCATCAATTAACATTAGTTTTTTTTCCATACGTCGATGTGGTTTATGTCATTTAACTCGAATAATACACTATGGAGTTTGCAACATGTAAAATATGCTTCATAAATGTAAGTTTTAATCACTATAGATAGTAAGGGCCAACAAATAACTACATTGTTTAACAGACAGGATGACTTCAGGCTTTCCATCGTCGATTTCCTTTGTGAAAGTAACGGTTATAAAGTACCATATACATAATTATGGTGGTTGTGTCGATCTCCAGGCTAGTGCGTCTGGTTCTGCATACAGCGATATGCTCTGAATATGATTTTCAGTCGAGGCGGTCTACAGACTGTTGCATGTTGTTGCAGGGATTTCAGCAACCCTGTTCAAAATCAGTTTTTTGTAATTCGCAATTTTTACGTTAGTTAAAATAACGTGTTTGCAAATACAAGATTGTTTGGTCGTTTTTATCTGACATGCTTCCATCCATTTGTTAGGACATTATTTTAAAACGAAATTGGACTTCGGATTATATTAAAAGGATATTCAATGTTGAATATGGAATTTATTTCACGAGTGGGACAGGATTTTTTTAAAAATATATTTTCACGAGTTCAAAGCACGAGTAAAAATATCAAAAAATCCTGTCCCACTCGTGAAATAACTTTCATATTCAACGACAAAACATTGTATTTTGTGTTTATTACATATTCTTTGATTTTCCATTTGCCTTTGTCTTTTTGTTATACATTCATGGGCTACATGATGTCAAAGTTGAGTGGTTGAGACGTCATAGCTAAGTGATGTGAGATTGAAAGCATTGTAAACAAGGGTTTTAGCAAAGTATTTGTGGAACTTTGAAAGTTTTATTCTTTGTTTTCTTTACTTGTTTTATCTTTCTTTTAACAGACCAAGGTATAATTTTTACAACACCCCCCCCTTACTGGGAAGGAAAATCAAAAGTAATACCGTACTTCTGATATTTGTCACACTGTGATAGGATATCATTTTGATATCCTTTCACTCTGTGACAGAATATAATTATTTTTACTCAATGAATAAACTACAGTATTTCACAGTTCAAAATGTAATAAAATCAAACTATACGTCTACTGAGTATATGATCAATACTGGGGGCTCACGGCTGAAATGATCAGTCGACAGGACAAGGTTTCGTATTTTATCCCTGTTTGTCATTTTTTGTTTGTTTACTGGATTTTCAAGGTTGTTCCTGTTTGTTATCTTGCACTTTTATACACTATACAATCTTTGCAATCAAAAAGAGTGTGGGATATTTCTCAATTTTATTTTAACAGTAGCATAATACACTGATAATGTCTTTTTTTAATTGAATATTTTGCAATTTAATCTGAAAAAAAACACTTTCTATGGCATACATTTTATAAACAAGCTTTAGCTGTGTCATTAAAACAGCCCCCACCAGGGCAGATCTGAGTATATGCAATATTATTTGAACATTGGAGATAATGATAACAGTCTCTTGGATGTGGATAATCACCATTACCTTTGCTACAAGGATTTGCTAAAATGAAAAAAAAAATCTATATACATGTATATACATTTGTACACTTTAAAACATTCATTAATTTTCAGAATTCGAATCCCATCTAAGGTTGTTCCTATCCATAGAATATCAAAGTTGGGTAGAAATATGGTGAACATGACATTAGATTTCTGCTTGCTATCCCCTATCACATTGAGAACTCATGAAAAAGAACTAAACATCTTGATATGTTAAGGAGTATAAGGCATTCTTAGTATCTAGATTGTTTGTGGAATTATCAAAAGGAATCAATTCAACAAATTAAACGTAAAATCATCTATAAGGAGTATACTTGAAAAATAATTATTTCTAATTGTTTAACTTTCATTTCAAAGTCCTTTCATAGAATGCATTGTCATTTTATAGAATATATACTGTAGTGTTATAAGATTTACCTGGAAGAGGAATAATTAGAACTTCATTTGACGTTGGAATAGGATCTGTGTTTTCCAAACTCTCGATATTTTTAGCCAGACATCTTATATGCTGACCAGTCAAATTGTCTTTTGTTAGGTCTATGGAAAACGTTAGAGTCAAATAATGATTGCAGTTTTCATAAACCGGCGTGTCGAAAGATTGAGTGGTGGGAATGTATTTGTTGTATGTTGCTAGTGAACCATTCCTTATCTCCAACTCAAGGGATCCTTTAGGATTTCCAACATAACCTTTGCAAGTGTGAAAATTCTGGTTTTTACCCATCTCTAACCTGTAGTCAATGTTTAGGACGGGTGTTATTGGTTTAACTAAAAAGTAACAAATTGTACAATGAATGATAAATCAAATAAGAATATAAAAGGGAGGGGGAGAGAAAGAGTTAACTAACCTTTCATCAGAGGATTTGCTGTAACAGAACTTGAAACTTCTCCTCCGTTGTAAAGTTTAAATACATAATCTAAAGAGTTATTACAGTTCAGGTTTTTAACAATAAAAATCACAGTTTTTCCAGTTAAAGAACCTTGAAATGTAGAAGAAGAATCGCCGAAATAAATAACTGTTGTATTTTCAAATATTGACATTATCATTCCTTTGTCATTAGATATAGATATGAAATCAAAGGAGGAAACGTTCAGTGAACATGGAATTGTTGCTCTTTCTCCTTCATATACAGACGGTGATGTACAATTAAGAGCTACAAAAGAAAATATACATTGAATTATCGACAATTCCAAATCTCTTTAATTATATTTATCAAAGTATATTTCTAACTTAAACTATCAGTCTAAAGCGAGGAAAGAAATGAATATAAATAAAAATAAGAAACCGTTAAGAAAACCAGAAATCCTGACATTGATATGAATGAGTAAAACAATCTGATGTTTGTAATATAATCTTTTAAAGCATACACTACATGAATTCTTATCTTTAAGAAAAATAATTAGAACTACACACTTACAACGAGGAACAGGTACTGGTGTTGTTTCAAAACTTGATAACGTGACTTCTAAATAATAGGAAAATCAAACTGTGATGAGAAATAGCCTTGTAATGAATAAAGAAAGCCTAAAAGTCTTTGATTCAAGAATAATAGCCCTGAAGTAAGTTAAGTTACATGTAATTAATAGTTATTGTGTTACTGTGTATAATTTTAATAACGAAAAAGTGTATTTCTATACGTTAACTTTTCTCTGTATTTAAAAGTGGAAATACATATTACCTGTAGTTGTAACTCCTTCTGAACATACAGCAGTGGAACAGTCTTCACAATACGTTTTACCAATGTACACACACCGGTTTGGCTTACAAGATCTTCCAAAAGGTTTCCCTCCACTGCATTGTATATAGGTGTTACAAAAGTCCTCTTTTTCATGGTCAAAATAAATTTCTTGGTTGTTCGTAGAATTGCAGAATGATCCTAAAAATATATTCGAATAAATAGTCAAATACTTTTCTCTTTTTGTAACACATGTGCAAGATTGAAATTATGTTATATACTTTGCATTTTCTTATCAAATCATACTCATATTCACATCATATCTCTTGCTATTATCTTTCAAAGTTTTTCTTACTTCACTGCATGTTCAATACAATGAAGATTTGATTATATACTGACAAGCGTACCGAACCGTTTTTAAACCACAAAATGTATCAATCTTTACCATCAATAACAAAGAAAATATCGTCTTTGGTTGCCTTATGTTCTCCATTTTTAACTTCACAGATTATTTTTCCTTTGTTCCAGTTCTTTGAAGAATTTATTGTGAAAGAAATCTTCTCCATATTTTTGCAATCTTCTTTAGTAAAAGGTTCCAAAGTGCTTTTAATTTCTATTTCATTACCGGAAATAGTCCTTGTGCTATTTTTATTAAGCGTTATATTATAGTTTATTAAAGGATGGACAAAGGTAATCTCTAAATGACCTCCAACTTCCGGGTACCCAACAGGACCAAGGCAATGATGAGTTCCAGAATCCTTATTTTCAACAATGTCTGGGTTCACAAACAATTCGACCGTTGAGAAGCCTGGTGATGCTTTAAAAATTATCAGAGTTATTATAAAAATAATAACTGTATAAGCAATTGGATTTTAAATATTCGTGTAAAAAGAAAATTAAAATAAATAAAATAAGCCCAACATACTTGTTACTTGAACATCAAGGGAAAGTGGGGGCTGAAGTTCCGCATCATCATCCATGATCACAGTGCAATTATATTGCCCTTCGTCAGAGCACATTACTGAGGCAAATATCAAGGTTAGAGCATTGCTGCTGAAATTTGCATCAACCCCGGCTATATTTTGTACTGAATCAGATGATGATGTATATGAAGCCATTTCCATCATTGATGTGCTGTTGATTATTTTCAAGATCTTTATTGCTTTATAAGACCCAGTACTCCTTACGAGACAGGTAAAGTTTGCTTTACTTTGTAATTCTGCTTTTAGTTTATACGTATTAAAGGCAACGTCTGAAAAAAATATGCTGTTAGTTTCAAAATATCGCTACTTATCTCATATTAATGTAATTATAAATAAAGGGGAAATATTCATATACTAATTACAGTTAAATGTTTTATGCTTCTTTGTCCATGCGACGTCCCAACATACCAATAAACCAAATCTATAGAATAAAGCTACTGACATTAAATATATTCTGTTTCAGATTTACCTGCCGACTGTATCTTAACATTTTTTTCTTCAGAGACTTCTGGGCTAATTTCGTTGTACAGACATTTCAGCTTAGTTCCGTTTAGATTTGCCGAGACTATCAAACCCGTATCAAACATCGATATCACTGATTTGGTACAGTTTTGAGTAAATTTTTGTAAAATAGTTTGTTCTCCCTGTACTTTTACAAATGAATTATCAGCTGGAAGCTTGTAGTATCCTAGAAGTTCGGTATGGTCGGAATCAACTGTAGCCGTGCAGTTAAACATTAATGGCTTCCCTTCCTTGTACATCGATTCACTATTGATTGTAAGCTCTTTCACAGGAACTGCAATGCAACCAAATATAATCATACAGATAATATTAAGTATGGTGTGACTTGAACACTGGATATGTTTCATTTATATCAAAAGATTCGCATCTCATTCGACTCCTTTAATGCTGTTTCTTTAATGTTATGAAATCTACTTGATTGTTTAAATTTTATATGTGTTAGATATAAATACCAAACCACTAAATTTTATACATTCTGGTTTAGAGTATCAAAGAAATATCATACAATTACTTGAACATCAAAACGACAACACGCAATATAATGGAGTCTTGAGAAAAAGATGAACATATTGAACAACGATCGATTGTTTTTGAAAACTTTTTACGCCCCCATAATAGAGGATTCGGGCGTTTTTAGCTTCTTCGAACAGATTTCGGTAATTTAAGCATTTACCTCAATGATTCAGCAATTCAAAAACAATAAGAAACCAAAATGCTTATATAATAGTTTGATAAGACAATAAATGCATAAGATAACTACAATCTTCCAAGGAACACATGTGTCGCCTGATTTTAGCTTCATTAAAGATGAAATTAAGTGTAAGAGTCGTCAACTATTTTTATGTTTCTCAGTTGCATTTAGTTCATGGAAAAATCTAAGGATAGTAAGGCTACCTTAGAATCGGGCAATCAAATAGAAATACAAATCATATTATAAATAAATCATTTATCAATCAATCAATTAATACGTGATTTCAAACAATCGTTCGAAAGAGACTTGACTTTGTCTTTATCGAAATTGTACGTCTACACCAATCCATATTTGTACTTTAGTAGTACTTCATCTTCAATTTGTGGTTATTGAATTTCAAATTTTCAGTGTGATGTACATTGTCATGAGCTCATAAACGTTGTATAAATGCTACTTATCAAATCCTTGTCTCTCTAAATTCAAAAGACATGTTTAATTTTCATAATGTGTAGTATATTTCGCAAAGTCGTTCGAATGTCAAGGACTGTAAAGCTGGTATTTTCAAAATGTTTTATTACAAACGTGTACATTCTAATTAGCATACACTAACATCTTATCCCTTAAATATCAAAAATAAGTTATAAATGTATATCTGCATTTCTCAATTTTTTTTTCAAAATTAAGGTCAAAGTTATAACAAAAGGATAACTAGGTCGGCAACCATGGTAAAATACAAAAACCATAGTGCCAAGCTATATATGTGCAAAATATAAAATACATTTTTCTTTTAGTTCAAGATGTGACAGACGCCGGGTAAAGCGGTCCCTAAGTGCGCTCTGCTCACCGGTGTCAAAAAAGGGGTAAGGCTTACCTAAGTTATCAAAGTAGAAATCTGAGATCGATGGTTGTGTGTCCATGGAGACGTTTGTGTCTGTCAGGAGGTATTTTCCTTCCTCCATACATGAAGATGAAGCAATGATTAAATGAATATATTTAGAACTCACAGAGAATGTTGTACTTAAAACTGGGGATGATCTTGCTTGGTTTTTAATTGTTCCATCAGGTAATATAACGCCCACAATTTCTTCAATATTTAAATTAGAAGATGAAGTCAAAGTTACATTCAGGCTTTGAAATGTGTCATCGAGGACTGTGCAGTTGATTGTGATAGGTGAACCTTCTTTCTGGGAGACATCAGCACATTGTACATCTGTAATGATTCAAATCATTAGGTAGCGGACAACAATTATCCTCAGAAGTCTACATGTATTTTAAAAGAATTTAATTAAATTGTAAACTGGACACATAAGGACCATAAAAAAGAGGTAAGAGAAGCTCTTGAAATCATCTAAGACATTTTGCTTCTTCTAATGCCTAATATATTTACAAGGGGTGATTAAAGAATCCTTACATGTTTTTCCCGGAGCTAATGTAGTTGTTGTTGTTACTGGTTCTGTAATAAAATTTATGCAAATCAGAAATATACATTAGGGATAAATGATAAAATTTATTTACTATTTATTAATAAATAGTTAAAAAGCTTTTACATGCATAAAACACGTTTGTGTTGTATTGCAGTGATTTCTTTTATTTTATTAAAGTTATTTGTACATCTTTTTCTTACCAGGACTTTTACAGGTAAAATTTTCGTCACAGTCGACGCAATAATCAAGACTGAAGTCCATGCATTCACCGGGACGTCTACAGCTGTCTCCCGTTGCATACATACGACCACCGACCTCTGCACAATTCACGAAGTAATGACAATCGTTGTTTGGATGATTTCGCTTTGGTATATCTTCGTAACCAAAACAATATTCGTCTGCATGAAAAAAAGATAATGCTCAATTCTAGTTTAACAAATTTTTAATTATTTCTTACAATATTAATCAAATTCATTAAATACACTCCGTTTTCTCCATCATTTATTTGTCCAGTCTTTCCACAGGTAGCACATAAAGGATTATTATAACAGAAGATATACTGACAATTACCTGGAATAACAGTTATGGTTTCCGCTGCAGATGCATATTCAAAACTATCATCTCTCAAAACACATTTAACAATTCCTTTGTCAAACTCCATTGGTCGATCCAATAAAAATGCAATGGTTTGGGTATTGTTACATGAATTGTTCGTAGAAAAATCAGAAACAAGGAGAAAGCGGGCAGTAGTCCCAGCAATGTTAATATATGTTATGTTGTCTTTAGAATTAAACTCCTTTTCTGATTCCGGTAATTTCTTTGAGTATCTAAATCCAGATGTATCGTTTGGACGATAAACTTGAATTTCTAGGTATTTATCACTTTGAATGTCTCCAGTGTGTGTCGTCCTGCAAATATGATTTAAGCCTGGCCTTGCAAACCTTTCATAAATATCAGGATTCAGGGTCAAGGTAGGTGTGGCACCTTAAACAAATAAATTTAGCATATTGTAAGAAAACCTTGATAAATAACATTTTACTTGTTAAAGTGGTACTGTATTTGAAACCTCGTATACTCAATACAAATGCTTATTATAGGCAGGGCCTGCATATATCTACATCTAATAAGCTATCAATAGAAATTATATTGTTCTATATAAGAAATAATTCTTTAAAAAATATATTTTTATATAAATTAGTGATTACGTATGTGAACTAAAAGTATATTCACAGATTTGTTATTACCTATAACATTGAACGTCATGCGCGGAGAACTTCTGGAATCATTTTTTGTTGTTAAAACATTGCATCTATATGTACCCTGGTCTTCACAGTCAACCGTTTGTATTCTTAAAATTAGCTTTACATCATCAACATCGATTTCCTTTGTCACATTGTATCTAATTTCTGATGTGAGAATCATAGGTGTACCCGATCCGTCCAAAGTAACAATGTCAACACTATCTCTGATAATTGTCATGTTCTGCAAGATTGAGGATGCACCGCGGGCTATGCATTCTATCACTTGGACTTCTTTTGTCAGCGTCGAATAAGAATATTTGGAAAAAGCGACGTCTGAAAATAAGCAAAACATTTTAATGAAAAATATTCATGACAAAAATGAAAATATTTCATATTTCTTTCTTTTAAAAAATCATTATGTATAACGAAAAAAAACTTTCTGTCAACTTGCCTGAAAAGTTAACTTCATTATCAAATATCGTGTTATATTGAATATTTTATGTTAAAAGTAGTTTCTTACCTACAGCAGACACATTTAGTGTCTTTTCTATTGTCTCGCTTTTATCCAGCAAAGAGTTTTTGACAATGCATCGAATTACAACACCATTTTCGTTTGTCGTCAGAGGATTTGGTGACCTAGCAGACCACGTAGCATTCACGGAGCAGTCAGAATTTCTTTCCGATGGAATGGGTGACATAATTAATTGGTCCATCACAAAAGAATTTATTTCAAGACTTACTTCACTATAATTTGGGTCTATATTAGTGTAACAATTAAATGTTACCAGATCGCCTTCAGTATAATCGACTCCAGGGTTTATGTTGACTTTTGCCATTGGGGCTGAAAGTATTAAAGAAAATTGAATCATGCTTTTTTTTTTTTTAAAGTACATGCTCTTTGAAAGGAAAATGTACACATTCACAGTGATAAAATTGCAGTATAAAGTGTATTTTCTGCAAGTGAAAATGTAGTTATTTGGCTCATCCAGGTTAGAAAATCTATTCATCATGCAAGGGATATGACTTCTAGATATTACCAATCATAATTTAAGAAGAAAACTTAATAATTTCATTATTATTCTAAAGAAATTTTAATCTATACGTATGTTTATAAATAAAATATATTTCAAACCCCACTATACGGGTTTCTACCTTAGATTTTATACATTTGTTACCTAATAGATTCAATTACAGGTTATATCAAGCTTTTAACAACGATGAATTGAGCTTCACTTTCCAAAATTGAGAAAGAAATGTGCATTTACATTAGATCTAATTAATATCGAAAAAAAATTTTGCAATTGCATTTTTTCAAATTGTCCTGTCCGCAAAACTCCGCTATATGTATGTATAAAATACTCGATTGTCGGTATATACTATTTTGAAAACTTGTAAGAATTCTAACAAAATGTAGCTATATAGTTTAATGGTATGTAGAAGTGTATTTGACTTAATGTTTTACTTTCAATGAGTACTATACATGTACATAAAATAAAAATAATAAAAAACATAATATTTAAGAAGAAAAAAATCAATATTTGTCTAAAGTTAACAACAACTTTATAATCCCTTACCACATGAAAGAATTTATTACCTGTAATTGAAATTTGACTTCCATTGCTTTTGCTGGTTTGCATGGTATCGTTCATAATTACTGAGCATTTCGTAAAGTATCGGCCATCCCATGTGCAGAAGTCTGATTTCGGTAATGTTAAGTCCACAGTTAATCTGACAACAATATCTTCCCCGTCCATGTTGATGCTACCGTTAAATCTGTCTAAAGAGGTTGGTTTTTCGAATGTTTTGTTATGATCTAACTTTGCAATTACGTGTGATGAGCTGTTATAGTCGATTGATAGCTCTACATGAAGCCATTCTCCATCTGGAATAATAACGCATGCTTGTGTTGTTGTAGATTCACCGACGATTGCAGTGATCCTGGAAGCTCGGATGTCTGAGAAGATATAAAACAACATGGTGAATACAATTCAGAATAGGTCATTTTCTATTGCTTACTGCATTATATTATATTTGATTAAGGAATTTATATATTTTTTCTGAAAACAAACCTGCTGTATGTTCCACGGTTACAGCAGTCGTAGTTTCAAATGTACTTTTTATTGTAAAGTTTGCTGTGCTATCTAAAGTTGTGTCTACTATAGAGACTGATGGTACCATAGATATAATGTTCGTTGTTGTTATTATGGTCTGTGTTGTTGCATTAGTTCCTGTATTTTTTGTTTCTGTTGTAGTTGTCATCTCGACTGATGACTTCGTATCTGTTGTTCTTTCTGTTGCCATTGTTGTCGAAGGTGTCCTGTCGGTGGATGACATATCTGTCATGTCTTTTACTGCCGTGGTCGTAGGCTTAATATTCTCTGTTGAGCTCATTGTCGTTTGAGTTGTACTTTCTGTTTGAGTGGTCACTGGTATTGTACTTTCTGGTTGAGTGGTCACATGTATTGTACTTTCTGGTTGAGTGGTCACTGGTATTGTACTTTCTGTTTGAGTGGTCACTGGTATTGTACTTTCTGGTTGAGTGGTCACTGGTATTGTACTTTCGGTTTGAGTGGTCACTGGTTTTGTACTTTCTGTTTGAGTGGTCACTGGTATTGTACTTTCTGGTTGAGTAGTCACTGGTTTTGTACTTTCTCTTTGAGTGGTCACTGGTATTGTACTTTCTGGTTGAGTGGTCACATGTATTGTACTTTCTGGTTGAGTGGTCACTGGTATTGTACTTTCTGTTTGAGTGGTCACTGGTATTGTACTTTCTGGTTGAGTGGTCACTGGTATTGTACTTTCGGTTTGAGTGGTCACTGGTTTTGTACTTTCTGTTTGAGTGGTCACTGGTATTGTACTTTCTGGTTGAGTGGTCACTGGTTTTGTACTTTCTGTTTGAGTGGTCACTGGTATTGTACTTTCTGGTTGAGTGGTCACTGGTATTGTACTTTCGGTTTGAGTGGTCACAGGTATTGTACTTTCTGGTTGAGTGGTCACATATATTGTACTTTTTGATTGAGTGGTCACTGGTATTGTACTTTCGGTTTGAGTGGTCACTGGTATTGTACTTTCGGCTACAGTGGTCACTGGTATAGTACTTTCTGTTTGAGTGGTCACTGGTATTGTACTTTCTCTTTGAGTGGTCACTGGTATTGTACTTTCTGGTTGAGTGGTCACATGTATTGAACTTTTTGATTGTGTGGTCACTGGTATTGTACTTTCTGTTTGAGTGGTCACTGGTATTGTACTTTCTGGTTGAGTGGTCACTGGTATTGTACTTTCTGTTTGAGTGGTCACTGGTATTGTACTTTCTGTTTGAGTGGTCACGTGTATTGTACTTTTTGATTGAGTGGTCACTGGTATTGTACTTTCTCTTTGAGTGGTCACTGGTATTGTACTTTCTGGTTGAGTGGTCACTGGTATTGTACTTTCTGTTTGAGTGGTCACTGGTATTGTACTTTCTGTTTGAGTGGTCACTGGTATTGTACTTTCTGGTCGAGTGATCACTGATATTGTACTTGCTTGTTGAGTACTCACTGATATTGTACTTTCTGTTTGAGTGGTCACTGGTATTGTATTTTCTGTTGTACTTTCTGTTTGAGTGCTCACTGCTATGGTATTCTCAGTACTACTTTCTGTGGTCTCTGGTATGGTACTTTCTGTAGTTGGTGTTGGTTTGGTGTCAGCTGTGCTTTCCGCTGTTAATGTTGTTATTGTAATGTTTAATTGTGTTTCCTCGGTCGTGGCATCGTATTCCTCTGTTGTCTCTGCAGTTTCAGTTTCTGGTGTTGTTGAATAATCTGCTGTTGTGGTATTCATCGGAGTTGTAGAAGTGGTTGGAGTTGAAGTATCGTCTAATGTAGTCTCTGTTGTTTCATTGGTCGGTAATGTGGTAGGTGTTGTAGTGACCGATGTTGTCGTGGTGGCTGCCGGGACAGTAGTTGTCTCTGTTGTTGTGGGTGGGGTGGTAGAAGGTAGTAAACTGGTTGCGGCAGGATCGTTTACTTTTTGGAAAGTCTCCACTTCGACGGTGATTTTCAACGACACTCTTATAATAACTAAAGTTGAAAGTTGTGCGAGACCGGCATTTTGAGGTGTTAAAGAGTTATTAAGATCTTTCTGGACCGTCTCGTTGGTGATTATGAAAGTAGCTGTGTAAACGTAATACACTTTGAATCGAACTTTTATGCTCCCATTTCTGAAATAATATTATTTAATCAGTTTAATGAACAACATGTTAATATTCAAATAAATCATAAATTTGAAATTATATCACTTTATCCTACTACAAATTCGAATAAATCTGCTAGGCGAATTGTCTTGTCTTTTATCTTGAACTTAAGATTTTTGTAAAAGATGCTCACCTAAAATCTATTACTTCGCACAGTCTGTATTTATCCCCGTTTTCCGTGGAGTTTTTTAACGCCTCTGTAATCTTTTTAAAAAATATATTAATGTCGACTAGAAAAGTAAGGAAGAATTGAAACCCAACTTTTTAATTCGAACGTTACAATAACATGTACTATTACATATGTAAATTTCTTTGAATATGCAAAGCATGCAATCAAATAATATGTAGATAAAATATTGAAATAACTTTCTTTATACCTTTAATAGCTTTTCATCTTTTTTTTCTAGAAGCGAACAAACTTAAGATAATATAAATAACTTGAGTGTTTTACAATTTCGTTACAATTACAGTACTCTAAACCCTTCGTGGGACTCGAAGTAGTCTAAAGTTTACATTTTGTGCGAATAATAAAAGATGGATGTTGACAAACATACACCAGTAAACGTTCCGTTTGCGAATGAGATAACGTTATGTAAAATAAATTAACTATGCAGTGTTCACCAACTAATTCAAGTATTTCTGATCTGGCTCTTCAGGTTATATTCTGACGAGGAAACGTATTATATAAACAAGGTACATAAATATAAAGTACAAGAATTTTTTTCATTTAAAACACACTTATCAATCGTTTAAACATTTTATACAATTTTACAGAAATATCATATTAACATATCTTTTAAACATTTCTTTAAAAAGGAGAAAGGACACCTTAAAGCATCGATTTTATGTTTAATAAAGCATACAAGATAAAATAGTGAAGAAAAACTTTCAATCTATCTTTTACCAAAGAGTAAATATCTATCGTTTTCAATAAATATTTTAGTGTAAACAGAACTCTTGATATACTTACTGCACCGCAGAATTCCGAGCTCAAATTTTTAAATTCTTCAGAAGATGTATCTGACAACTCTTCATAGAAGATTTCATTTAGACTTATCTCACCGGATGCTACATCTGTTGATGAAATAAATTCACTATCAACTTTTATTTAGAAACATATGATGTTTAAAAGTATCTCATGAAATTATTAATGAATAATATACTTCACTCTTCTTGTTCTAAAATTTATGGCACAAAAAATGTTCATCAAATACATTTTAAAACAGAAATAGCATATTTTGTACGTCTAATTATTATATCTAAAACAAAGATTCAGAGTGTGAATATTATTTTACTAACCGTGCAAAACAAGCACATGTATAAAATAAACTGAGATAACGAACAGTATGCAAGATTAAAAGTACATTATAAGCCATTTTGGAGCATAGAAAACACGGACCTCTAAAACTTCAAAGGTGGTATTACATGTGGGTCCCATGGAGTGAAGCAGTGTTCATAATTAATGTACATGTGCATAAAATTAAAATTTGTTTAACTTGAATAAATATTAATACTTACAATATTTTATTGTTGTATCTCCACTTTCTACAAAAAAAAACCATTCATATAATTTAAAAAAAACGTTTTCATGCGTCAGTAAAAAATTAACTGCTTACGAAAATATTTATAAAAAGAAAAACATAAAGTTTGGATTAAACATTGAATAAATACCTTTCTTTGAGAGAAAATATGCGATTACTCCAGCTACGATTCCGATTAATATGATCCCCAAAAATATGAGCAAAATTGTCTTTATAGTTCTTGATTTACTTCCCTTGGTATAGGATTCAGTCGAACTTGCATTGCTTCGAAACTGAGGAATATCACCCATCCTGTTTTGGGAGTCATGGTGGAGTGAGGGCTTAAATAATATATATATATATATATATATATCATTTTATTTATTTATTATATTTGACATGCAGTAAAATAATAATTTTGAAAAATAGCATTAATTTGGAATAATATTGCTTGAATAATTAAAGAAATGATATATCGCATCTACAACTGAAATTTGAATAATTATACTTTTATTCAATATATAGGGTTAAAATATTAGCTGTTTTATGAAGGCCCTGTAAACGTTCATCATACAGATGGTATATTTAAGGAGTGAGGTGAGGCTAGCAGAAAACTTTAAATTAATTTGTTGATGATATAGCGGTGGGTCATAACATTTTCCTCGTTTGAAAAGTCTGTAGGTCTTAGCGGGAAAAAAATCTCTCCTTCTCTTCTCAACATTTTTTCTGTTTTATTCGAGATTTCATTAACTATTGTAGTTTTTATTTGATGTTCGCGTAATACCTCTACAGTTTTAAGAGTTTACGTAATAACAGTCTATTCGTGGTCTTTAAATATTGAATGTAGACCTTGTAAATATTCTTATGAAATCATTATATGGCTCGAGACCCCTTTTGATTTTGTGTAGCTGTGACTTTGCATGCAAGATGATTGAAAACCACAATGTCACAAGAACTTTTAGAGAATGGGTTTTTGATAGTATAAATTAAATTCCTTGTATGATTTGAAGTAGACTCTGCTGAATATACATTTATTAAATAACTTTTTAAAAAATATGCATATGCCCCAATATCTGAAACACGAGTTTATTTTGGGAATATGAGAACAAAATTGAGTTTAGTTCTATAAAGGCGAGACTCTTAAAAAAATTATTGGTTGAATTCAGAATTCTTTGAGTGTAATAGCAAAATGAAAAATTTAATTTCAACCTACGCATAAAACGATTTAAAATTTTGAAATTAAATAATGCATGACACTTGTTCTCCACATTTATCTGCAAAAATTATTGTCTTTTAATACCATTGTTAGCTTTCTGGTGCTTAAGTACCGGGGAAAAAACGGTACTTCATATTTCAATAGGTCGGACAGAACCAAGGCAGTGTACGCGGTTCCTTTTTACCGAAAGTTAACAAGAAATGGTCATTTTTTTTTTAATATATCGAATAGCTTTAAAATTCAGTATTCCCTAAAAAAATTCCATATTAAAATCTTGTAATATGTTGCAAAATGAAATAACAGTAATTACCTCAAAAGTTCATTCATACAATACAATTGTCTTTCACTAATTAACAATTTTCAATTGCCAATGAGTACATGACAATTTTCAATTGCCAATGAGTACATGACTAATTGAATTAGTCATGTACTCATTGGCAATTGAAAATTGTTAATTAGTGAAAGACACAATTGTTCACGTTTTTCACGTTTATGTATTCTTTATATAGAGAATAATACATACCTTTTTCCATATCACATCCTGTATCAGCCCGAGACACCAATATCAGCCAGAGGGCCGAAGGCCCGAGGGCTGATATTGGTCGAGGGCTGATACAGGATGTGATATGGAAAAGGGTATGTTTTATTATATTTATTACATACTTAGTAATAAAATACAGAACACATTCAGTTGAGAAGAAAATAAGTAAATAATCATGCATGGACTTCTTACATACATGTACATAGTCTAATGTCTCTTAAGATTTGGGTTTGTTTCTACTTCTATTTCAATGCACTTGATCCGTAATTTGAAAATATTCTATAGTATTACATGTATTTGTAAATTAAGATTAACCTTATTTTCAAAAAGTTAAAATTAAGAGAATATGAACCCACCAAAAATTGTGTATGATCACAAGTATTGTTGTTGTGGTTTAATTTACTAAGGGTGTGATATTGACGTCACAATAGCCGTATCAGCCCTGCAGGGCTGATATGGATTTGCAGGGCTGATACGGATATCAGCCCCGCAAATCCATATCAGCCCTGCAGGGTTGATACGGCTATTGTGACGTCAGCCATATCGCATATGCAAAAAACCTGTATTTATTACTAAGTGTGTAATAAAAGAAAAGAAAAACATGATGAGCTACAGATCTATAGATATTAATCAGAAAGATGAAGTAAATCAATTAAACATCGATTGGTTGTGGTAAACTGACAATTGTATAAATTACTATCTGACCCATACATCCCTCTGTGTATACCCGCCGTATGTTCATGTTAGAAAAATGAAGGGAACTACCTGCATTTCCTTTGAAATGTTTTTAGATTTTAAAGTTTGATTATTCAGCTAACTGAGTAGGATTCTCGGAAATTTCAGTGTAACAACGTAAAAAGTTTAACATCTAAACAGCTTTTTTGAGATAGGGTTTCTTTCTATTTGTATCATTATAGATTTTAAAGGAATGTTCTTTGCAGTTGAACAATCAGAGTCAGAAAGATAAAATCTTTTTGTTAAATATAGTGTTATTACTACATGTAATAAGAATTTAGAATAAACACACGTTTTAGAGACTTATTAAAACAATCTTTTGAGGTAATTGTGAATTCACTACGCAACTTCTTAGGGTGTGCCCAAAAGATATTTTAAGTCTTCTTAGAAAGAAGCAATTAACGAGTCAAATAGCTATTATTAGAACGGACGACACAAATTCCGTTTTCTGATTATGATTCAAAATGACTTTGGTTGAATATCTGAAGGTTTCTTGGTAGACTTTCGTAGCCCTCTTGCTAGTGCAATATATATGCAAAGACAAAAGATTTTAAAGTTATTTACTCAACATCCACGTCATACAGTTTATATATAAGATTTATACTTGTAACGTTCCCCAATTATTTATTAACTTTCTTTTTCTTTAAAGTTCATAACATGGATTACTTTTCTATGCATAATACATGTGTTAGCATCAGAAACGAATTTTAACCAGAAGAACTGTTCGGTAAATTAGGATTTCTATATGTTTTTGTCTAAGTAAAAATACATTTTAAAAAATCAACATTAAATAACCCTAACAAGATCCTTCCATTCTTACCCGAAATGAATATCGATCTATGTAGTTCCTCTTGAATGTTCCACCTGTAATTTTATCCATCCATGGTTGAATTTTGAAACCCAAGCTGGAATCCATTTCAGAGCTTCCATCGGTGTCGTCATCAAGGCGGAAGGGACCACCATATCCATAAAATACATTCGAACCACCAAGAGGCAGATGTCTAGGGCCACTTCCATTGGCCGTACCATCGATAGATCGTGTTCTTTGAGAATTTCTGTCTCCGTTCCCATTCAGATTTTCAAAGTTACTACTGGGAGTTGTTTTTCTGGAACTCTGAAGTTCACTTCTTTCTCGATTATCGGGGGAATATTCTTGACTTGGTCTATGTCTTTGATAATCACCATTTCTTGATTTTCCGAAATATTCCATATCTCCTTTATCTTTGGACAGCCCGAAATTTGATCCGTTTAGAAAACTACACCACTATATCAAATATTCATGAAGCACCAATTCCAATATTTAACATCTTTTCATGATAGTTTGTTGTCACGGTCTTGAAAGGAGACTACTTTTTGACTATCATGGTAGAATCAAAACAGTAATACTGGGAATCAATCCAACCTCTTTAAAAATCCTGCCTAATTGTTTTAAATAATGCGACTTCAGAGCTGCATTAATTCTTTTAAACCAATGCAATGGAGGTTCCACTCCTTTTAAATTCTTCATTTTGACTTCCTGGTTTCAAGTCTATTCTATGCAGTCTTCTACTATTGATTCACTTATTCATGCTTCACTGCTTCTGAACTGTAGTACCGAGCTTACAGACTTTTAAAAACTTTTAGGTAAATGCAATACATAATCACGCTGTAATGTTTAAACTAAACATATATGATTTCTTCAAATATACATTCTTCTCGATAACACCAAAAACTTTACTACATGGTATAGATATACTATCTGTAAACGATTTTAAAATAAGACTGAAATATTGGAAGGTTTTTTAAACTAAAATTCAATTTGTAAAGATATTTTTGATCCAATTTGAATACTTCATTCAATTTGTCGACCATAAAATGTCATAATTGTTTCCTAAATATGCAAACCGACCCAAAATCCATGCATACTCGGGGTTTGTGAAATACAGCACAATAAGAAAAATTTAAATATAAATTGGTAAAAACTTTAGCGTCATGCTTGTCTTGACATTTAACCCTTTCCCTGCTCAAGCTTCTGTCGTAACAAATGTAAATAATGTATCTGGTAAAACAAACTTTTGTCCTGGTATCTCTTTAAACTGTATGGCAACGGCTCAAGTAAAACTCAAACATACAAGTGCAGTCACCATGCATGTTAGATAATTATTGCGATTTAAACTGATTTAATAACATGGGATCCTTTATCATATGATCAAGATCTTATCAGTTGTTAATGCATTAAGAGACAACAAAGTCATTCATATAATACTTGCAAAGTTGTTTGTTTTGAATATATTTTATTGATTAAATCTAAAGGATTGGAAACAATTGACAAATTCCCATTCCTTATTTTCACAATTTGAAATGCAAATTGAAGAAAAATAAAACAATTGATACAAGAAAAACAATTAAATACAATATAATGTAATATATCAAGTAGAGAATCTGCATGCTTCGTCAATAAATTTATGAACAGCAGCAAAAATATATAATTGCAAAGTTGAAAAGATCGAGTATACTTAGTATTGTTATACCCCCGCTTGAAAAGCGGGAGGGTATATAGTAATCGTTAATTCCGTCCGTCTGTACTGATGGAAATACCGATTACTATATACCCTCCCACTTTTCAAGCAGGGGGGTATAATAATACACAGATACTCCAGAATTAAATCACTTTCATGAATAATTAGATAAGATGTCACTGAATGCTATACAATATAAAACTAGAGGTACTGTGAGCGATGAGCTCACTAAACTATACCCCCCGCTTCCATATAGTTATAATTGCAAAGTCCATGTTTTGCTGTGGCCGGGAAACACAATATATGTGTCGGATCAAAAAGTTAAATAAATCCAATAATATAATAACTGTGAAAGTTTCATCAAATTTCATTCCGTATATGAAATGTGGATAAAACGTAACAGAAAGGAAGGACAGACGTCTGTACGTCCGTCCGTCTGTTACGCTTTGGGGTTCCCATCTCTTATCCGCAACTCCTCTCATACCATTGAAGGAAATTTAATGAAAACAGATTCTTAATTACATATTGCCATTGTGCACCTTCTGTTTTACTTTTTGATCTGACATATATTTTTGATTTTCCAGAACAAAACACTGCCATTATATTCACATGGAAGGCAGGGGGTATCATTTAGTGAGCTCATTGCTCACAGTACCTCTAGTTAATCTTAGTTTAACAAATTTTATAATAAACTGTAATTATAAAACTAAAACAGCAACAAAAATCTGCAAAGGAGGCAGTGAAGCTAACCCTTCGACGTCTTTAAAATCAATTTTTCCTTTTATCTTAGACATGTAGACATTGTTACTAGCTGGATAATTGACATGAAAGCGAAATAATGGTTTAAACCTGAATGAAAACAATTTCATTTTTCTTTATTTATCCATCAATGATTTTTCTGTAGACATCATATTTGGTTATAGCTTTTTTGCTGTGATGGAAAAAGGGATATCTATAAATGATCCTATTTCTTTGAAAATGCGAGAAACACACTTACCAAAAATGTCAGTACATATGTCTTTATCTTCTTTTTGTTTTTTTTTCTTTCAACACAATACTTAATAATGCAGAGATAATACAACAAATCAAACATTTGACTGATATATTTGAAAGTCATTTTTTTTTTTATTTATATATGTTCTGTTTATTTTTCTTAAAAGAAATCTTACCATAGTAATCTGGAATGGTTAACTCTTTTGTGATATGATATTGATATTGCAATTATTCGATAACTCTGACATCGTACATGTAAGTAATATAAACTGTATAATGAGCATGTACAACGTTCGGAATACTAACAATTTAAATGGTTTGGTTGAAAGCAGGGAGTCTGGAATTACTGTGATGCTGCATGTGTACAATGTGTACTGGATTGTATTCCACTACGTATTCCCGTTTCGGAGTTTTAAATATAAAAGAAAATTGTGTAATTATTAAAAGTATATTACACAAGCTACATTAAAAATGGTGATTTTAGCTATAACAAAATAAGATGGATCTTTTTATACATGTATGTAGTGAAAATATTCAACAAATTCTTCCTTTGACTAAAAATAGTCTTCATTCTACTATTAGCTCTGTGATTTCATGGAATATTAGCTCTTTACACGCCCTTTAAAAATGTAAATTATTTTAATTAAATATCTGTATTTTCTGCTTAATTTGAATTTTTCGGGTTGCAAAATAGTGTCATTTAGCAACTTTTTTACCATTTATATCACATGACATATCTATGCATCTCGTCATCTTATCTTCCTTTTCTCGAGTTCTTCTATTGTCATTATTACTGGTTTTAAACAGAACGACGAATGGTAGAAAAAAATTAAGCATCTTTTAATTTATGTAATACACTGTAATTTCTCATTTGATTAAATATATGTTATGGAAATGAATAAATAAAGAAATAATTTAATATTTTTCAAATCTTAAAAGATAAGCTTTTTTTCACAATTACAAATATTTGCATTGTCTTTATGATTTGTTAAAGTTATATTCATTTATTTACCCTGACCTCCTCGTCTTTATCTATGTGAGACAAATTTGAAATAAATTAAAACCTCAAAACGTGTTCTGTTTTTTTTTTTCTCTGATCATGATCTCTGAGTGTATAAAAAGACGGCAAGCCTCTACGTTTTAACACCTCTGATGTCTTGGAAGTCCGTGTTTGCTCTGCTCCTATTTTGCATTGTTTTATAGACTTGTGATCTTGAATACTGTTCGTTACCTCCATATGTTTCAATGCTTTTCAAAAAAAACATTAGAAAAGACTTCTTAGTTTTCACATTTACCACACGCACCTATAGATCGGCTATATTTTACACAGTTCTGAGTAGTATATGGCTAACAAGACAAATTCAGTCTTTATAGAACCACAATATCGAAATAAATCAATGTATTCCTTTTAAATATAATAGTCCCAGTCGCTTGTGTTTTTTCTTTAAAATAGGTCAGCCGTACTTATTTGCATTTAATAAATCAAAAGCTGTCATGATTTACCCCCTACAAATCTTTTGATTTATAACGATATGTCTTTAAAACCATTGTTTTACTTTGTTTTTTTTTTTATGAAGTTTAGATATGTTTTTTTTATTTGTGTTCATGATCTCTGCATGAAAGAGGAAGTGATAATCGAAGAGTTTAAAGGCCTAAATTCTGTATGTGGTATTAATCGTCAGTAAACCAATACCGATATACTGTGAAATAACAACTTTTGGTGGGGATGGGGGTGGGGGTGGGGTTATTTACGTTGTTTTCGAGGTTTGAAGAAACCCACGAATTTATGCCCATAACAAAATGTAAAATGTAACATAAGTCACTGCCCAAAAATTCTTTCTCCACGAAATAAAATAACTTCTAACCAGGTTTTCTTAAAACCACGAAAATTTGACCCCACGAAAATAAGTGAATTGCAGTTATAGGCATATTATACTGAATACAGTACATTTTAGTTGTTTTTTTTTTTAAAGACCACTTTGATACTGTTAACTTTATTTGTTTTGTTATTTTACTTGCTATTTTCCTATCCGTAATATACAAATAAAAGATTCTTTTTTGTGGTTTGTTTAAGCATAAAAATTTTAAACAAGGTGTGTGTTGGTTTGATTTGTAGAGACGACTATAGAGGGTTCAGAGGTGGATAAAACATACGGGTTGGTCATAGAACATGTCTAGAAGTTTGGAATAAAATCTAGTTTTGGACTAGTGCTAGAAAATAAAGAAATACGCCGTAAATTGCACCATTTTTGCAGTACAGGATCTCTGGCATTATAGTCAGAGATAAAAATATAAACCATTACCGTACATTTCTGCAGCTAGCAAATTCTTTGATTATAATGTACCCACAGAATTGTCAATGAATTTTCCTGTTTGCCCGGAACACATGGAGGGTGTAACTTGTCGACAGGGGATGCTTAGTCCTCTATGACAACTGTTCCCACCTCTGTTGTTTTAGAGGTCCGAGTTTCCTCTGCTCCCAATTTGTATTGTTTCAATGGATTTTTAAGCTGTTCCTTATTTCACATTTCACAGAAAAGAATCAAATTATACGTCTTTCACATTTAGCTATATGATAACGAAATACTAAAAAAAATGTTAAGTTATCAGAATCAAGAATTACTTGTGTATCTCAATAATATTCTGTGAAAAAGAATTCTGGTAAAACTTATTTTTATAACGTCTTCTACGTATATATATTTCTATAATTATATTTTGCACTCACAACAAAACATATTTCTATATTGAAGAACAAGTTTGCCAATTTATATTCAGCCTTACATACCTGATGTCTGCAATGAGACCTACTATAATGAAAATGTAGTTTTCTTTACATATTTAGCGAATTGTCAAATCCGTATTATGTTTTTCATTGTAAAAAGAATAAATTGTGTGCTCTAGCGCTCTAAGCTTTTGTAATAAGCATGGACAAAAAATTTGCTGTTGAAAACTTATTTACTTGCTTTATAATCGTTGCTGGGCTATTGTCACCCGAAAACCTTTAGTATAAAAATATCCCTTAGAAATGTTTCACCCTAGCGCAGATTAAATTTTGTTTTGTCA